ATTTTCTTTCTTTGAATACAAATAAATTTGGCGTGGAATGATTCCCAATGATTTAGCTATCTACCAATGACCATTGAAGAAACGTGTGTAAACAGGTGGCCGTACGACCCTCAATAATGAGCAAAACTCGTACCATTTAACAAAGCTATAAAATATGTTGGGACGATATCGAAGATAAACAACGTCCTAAGTTAAGCTAATAACATTAAACACGATATTAATGACAAACAATGTTTAACAAAAATGCGCGTGGATATCCATAAATTTTCCCGTGCAATGCCAAAAAGTGACTAACCTGTTTTAGATTAACTTCACAAAATACTGTACGGTCAACAGTGAACGGGAGAGCTTTTTCGCTCTCCTTTTCCTGTGACATTACCCGAAAAACTCAAAACCTTATATATGTGTAACTTGAACCCAACCTAAGTGTGGTATTCAATATGTGGGACAGACGGGACGAGCGTATTACAAAAGAAATCAAGAACACCTTTACCGCTTCCGTAGACCTAAAAGATTCAAAAGTTTGATATATCAACATTTAGATAAGCATAATCACAATCTAAAATTTATTAAATTCCAACCACTTGAAACCGTTCAGAAACAACCAGGAGAATCACACAAGCAATTTGAAAAATCACGTGAAGTTCGCGAATTATTTTGGATAAAAAGACTTCAAACAGCTTATCCTCTCGGTCTTAATGACAAAATTTTAGGACAGGGGAACATAACTAAAACTTCAATCGATGTCATTAATATTTTTCGATAAACGACTTAGAAATAAAAGGTCTCATGGCAAACGCAAAAACCGTAATCAACGTATTAAACATCGTATAAATTATACACTTGCTGATCTGTTATCTATAATAAAAAATAATGGCAGACATCAAGTATTATGCAAACTGGGTCAGATACCAATAAACAAATTATATGCTATTTTTCTGGAGTGTGATATAATTTCTTTTTTTAGCCCAATGTATGAATACACCCGTATTATTACAGCCTTTTGTCATCATAGGCTATTTCCTAGTATCGATAAACCTGAAAATCATAAACGGCATTTTCTTAAATTAAAATATATAAATAGAGGTATTGATTTTATTAACTTATCTAGTATATTCAATGACTCTACCATCCAAAGCCAAATACCTCCATATTTTGATAACATAGAACCACCTTTTATTTCGTATTCTTATAAAAAAACCAGCAGAAGTTTGATTTTTAATTATACGTCAGTTACATCAGACGTCAATATAGAAAATAATGTTCCTTCCACTTGAAATTGTGAAACATCTAGTTTTAGATATGTTCCCTATGGTCATGTCCTTACAGGAGACCTCAACATCGTCGAAGACCGTGAGGTCATAACTTTTCTTAAGAAAGGACCGAAATATCGTCCTCCATCTAAAATAGATTAGAAACAGTGTCGTCAGATCATTAAAGACGCTCTGTCTGTCTACTGTAAAAATTGGTGTAAACGTGAAAAATCTGATAAAAAATCTCTAGACAGTTATTTGAATAAAATTATGAATACTGGTAATATTCGTATATCTCATTTTAAAAACAATTCTGAAATTAGTAATAGGGTCCATGATATTCCCATTTCCAGAATAAAAAATAAACTCCAAGTACTCGCAAAGCGGTTTGTGTTCGTACCGGCAGACAAAACAGCAAATAATGTAGTGGTGGTGTGACGCATCTACTACACGGAAGTTCTCCAAAACGAAATTACAAATTCATCTACATTCAGGTCCGTACGCTCCACAGAGAGTCAAATTGTAAACAAGCATATCACTGCCACTACCCAGCTTAAAGCCTCTTCCGAACATTTGAAAGTCCCTACTATGTACTGGTTACCCAAATTGCACAAAAAAACATTTAAATTCCGTTTCATCTCCGCATCTAGTAAGTGTTCTACTACCAATCTATCAGTGCTTCTAACTACCTCCCTTACTACTATTAAAGAACTTGTTATTAACTTTTGTAATAAAGCTTATGAAAATAATGGTATTAATTATCTTTGGAGTGTTCAAAATTCTTTAGAGGTTTAAGATAAAATACATGCTTTTGATGGTCCTTTTAATTCTGTTGACAGTTATGATTTTTCTATTCTCTATACTACACTTCCACATAATCTTATCAAGAAAAAGTTTTCATATTTAATTAAATGGTCTTTTGAAAAATCTCATTACAAATTTATTTGCTGTAACTCGTTTAAAGCTTTTTTCTGTAACGAAAAAGGAAAGTATGCTAAATACACTTACTGGAAATGTGAAGATATGATTGAAGCTTTAAATTTTCTCCTGGAAAACATATATGTACGTTTCGGCGATAAAGTGTATCGACAAGTAGTAGGTATTCCTATGGGCACTAACTGCGCCCCTTTAATAGCAGATTTATTCCTGTATTGCTATGAATCTCAGTTTATGACCAAACTCAGTAAAGACACGTCATTGTTACATTTGGTTGATACATTCAACAACACCTTCCGTTATCTAGATGATATTTTTCGTTCAATAATCCAGAGTTCTCTAAATATACTACCGAAATTTACCCAATAGAACTTACTTTAACTAAATCTAACATAATCAGCAGTAGTTGTCCTTTTCTGGATTTGGACATTTCAATCTCTAAAGGAAAACTCCATACGAAAATTTACGACAAAAGAGACGATTTTTCATTCCCTATTGTTAATTTTCCTTTTTTAGACGGCGATGTTCCTTTGGCTCCATCATACGGTGTTTATATATCCCAACTCGTTCGTTATGCCCGTGTGTGAAGTGATGTCATAGATTTTAACGAACGTAATCAATGCATCACTGGTAAATTATTAAATCAGGGATTTCGTTACCATAAATTACATAAAACTTTTCCTAAGTTCTTTCATAGATACAAAGATTTGATTAGTAAATTTGCCTGTACTTGTAGAAAACTGATTAAAAACGGTATTTCACATCCTAAATTTTACGGTAATATTGTACTTAAAGCGCGGAAATCACTATGTGATCCGTGTAAACTCATCGAACCTTTAAACAAACTTATTAGTAAAGGTTATCTTACCAATGTTGTAATTAGATCTTTGAATATAGTTTACATTGGCACTAATATCGATTTTGTCATCAGCAAATTAAAACATAACTAAATTTGTATTCTTTTCAAACGGGATGTATAAAGACACACCCACGTTCGTTTTGATCTATAAAGAGGTTAAACTCCTAACTATCCTACTGTCTGTCGATACATTTATTTTTGGCATTGCACTAGTCATGTCTTCTTTGACTGTCCATGACGTTGAAATACTAAATCCCTGGGATGTGTTTTAGTTGATTTTAGTCTCTGATGCATGATTTTTTATTATTAATTGCTTTGGCTTTTAACTAGCTGTCAGTAACTGCGAGTACTCTCAAATCGTACTTTCATGTTTATTTGACCTGTTGATACTAATTGTATTGCTTTTTTGTTATTTAATGTTATTCAGGGTTATATCTGGTCTATATACCAGCTTTTATAAGTGTTTGGTATTACTATAAATTTTCACCTCGTACTATGAACATCAAAATTATTTATTTTGTAAAAATATTTCCTTTCTCTATTGGAACTGTATACGTATACCTAACAACAAAATTATTTTCATTTACCTGTGTTTAAAGTTATTGCAAACGGCTGATATTTTTGTTCGAGCAGATTGTTTTTCTTTAAATGTTTAACATTTCATACCGATATAACATGTTACTTTTATTATTCTTCCCTTAGTTTATTTATTTTGTATTTACATTGTATCATAGGTCAAATTTATTTGTTCAGTGTATGTTCAATGGTGTTAATATGTCCTTTGATTGAGTTAAGCTATTTCAGTTGATATTTTATAGTGTGTCTTTCTATGTTGTGATGTTACACTATTGTTTCAGAAAAAGGGTGAAGGTTTGGTACCATTAAAACGTTTAAACCCGCTGCATTTGTTTGCACCTGTCCTAAGTCAGGAATCTGATGTTCAGTAGTTGTCGTTTGTTGATGTGGTTCATAAGTGTTTCTCGTTTCTCGTTTTTTATATAGATTAGACCGTTGGTTCTCCCGTTTGAATGGTTTTACACTAGTAATTTTGGGGGCCCTTTATAGCTTACTGTTCGGTGTGAGCCAAGGCTCCGTGTTGAAGACCGTACTGTGACCTATAACTTTTATAAATTTTGACTTGGATGGAGAGTTGTCTCATTGGCACTCATACCACATCTTCTTATATCTACTAACAACCACTTACAGCTAGTTTTGCAGGTTCCTTGGTTAGTACTTCGTTTTGTGTATATTCAAACTCTGTTTACTATATTGACTAGATACGTTATGCATACAATAAGCGATATACTGATATGACGCAACAATACGTTACTAAGTTACGTTACAGTCTTTGACGATAACAATAAGAGTTGAATAAGTTAGTGTCTCTGTATTGCTGCTAATTTGCAATTAAGACCATGAACATAGTGGTTGGAAGGGGTAAACATGATTGTTAGCGATCATCCCCTCTTACTTATGGATATTTGCATACTATGCATATTTGGTATTGGCTTCTAAACATCTTATACATTTTTAACCAGTCTTGTGTTACACACAATACATATATTACTTTTTCATTGAAATATAAATACAAGAAGCACTAAATACAAGTAGAAAATGTTTTAAAATATTTTGAACTGTTTTGAACATTTTAAAATAATTTCGCATATTTTACTATCTGTTCTAAGTTTTATATGAAGAAAAGGGTATGTACTTAGTAATTCTGCTTCAAGTTTCTACACCAGAAAAGATAAGTAATGTCCGTTTTTGAAATATATCAAACAGGTAAGTCATGACTTCAATCCGTTAAAAGGATCTAATTGTAGACATTGATGACAATTAAATATCACATGACCACATGACGATATTTTAAAATCGAAGGATTTTACATTTGCTTAATGACTTTTCTAATGATCAATTGATTTATACATAAGTAAACAAACGATGTAATGCATTTCGGTATTAAAACTTTGAGTTCTTTTGAAATATCTTCATTAAACCTGATGACATCTAACAACCGGATCATCACCAGTTTTCTGTAGATGGACTAAACACTAACAAATACTTGAATGTTTTTCACTGAAAAGGTGGTACAATTCTACCTTTAATATTGATGTCTTCTAAGAAATCGAAGGTAAAGAAAATAAACGTCAGCAAAATGAGAATAAGAACAAACAGTAGCAATAAGCCGCCCTCACCGGTTGTGGATAAAGTAAATCCAATACCAGCAATAGCTTTTGCTTCAAAATCGAAAAATAAATTCAGAGCAATGCTGGAAGAGCAAATTGAAAAGGACAGAAGTTTAACAGTGAAGGAAAGATTTGACATATTTATATCAGAAACGAGTTTTACCGCTTTGACAAAAATTTGCAAAGCTGGTAATATTTTCAAACAAATAATCTGGCTGATATTAGTGTTAGCAATGTTATCCTGGCTATGTATCCAGTGTTATTGGTTGTTTGAAAAGTACTTAAGTTATCCTTACGAGGTTAAAATAGAACTAAAATCTATTCAGAAGATGGAGTTTCCAAGTGTTACAGTTTGTAACAGAAACCCAATCAGACAAAGTAAATTCAAAAGTTCTCCTTTTGACGCAAAGCCATACAAAGGACTGTTTGAAGTATGGCAGAATTCGCCCTTGTATGATAAAGCTGTAAATATGATGCAAAACCAAACGAAAGAAAAGTATGATAGCGATGGGGGATCAAGCGAAGAAGGTTAGTTCGATTTTCTTATTGTATGTAGCAAAAAGGTAGTTTGATTTTCTTTATGTACTTGGAAATATATATTTTATTCAAAAGAAGTCAATCTTTTTTAAACATAATGTCAAATATAATTTTCTTATTGTACGTAGAAATATATTTTATTTAAAAGAAGTCAATCTTTTTTAATCAAAATGTCAAATATAATATGAAAGAATTACATTTTCCCCATTTGTATCTGGTTGGAAGACACTTTTTTTCTTAACAAATTGAAAATCTTCGATATTCCATCAATGTCCCGGAAATGATAGAAAACGATTTGATTTCGAAAGAATATATATTTTTTGGTCTGTAGCAAGAAATATATAGCTGAAGTTGAATAAGGGTCGACATTAACAAAGTAACTCGGATGTTACGGGAGGTTATCCAAGATTATTAAAAAAAATCGTAATAGATGCTGTTTATATTTTACGGTAAACTTTTCGTTACATTTTTGCGTATTACATGCAGTGTCAAAATGCATGTATATAGTGTCATCAGAATGAGCTTGCTTTCAGTAACTGCGGACATCCTAAATACACCTTATGTAGAACTGTTTTATTATTATTAACTACATTTTTTAAAACTGTATATAGGTCTAAATTTCGTAATACAACTTATTGTTTTGTTTTTTATTATGTGTTTAAACAATCAGTTCCTTCAATATTCCTTTTAATAAGGACAAGATTGAGGAACTAAATTGTTATTTATGTGCTTGTCCGATATCAGATAACTCATCAGCTCTTTTTGCTGTTTCTTCATATCTTTTTTTGCATTAAGAAGTCGGTAAAATATATTTTGTGTTTTCTCTTGATTTCACTCTTTATATGAAATGATTTTTGAATATGAGTTTTTTATACCGTGTTGACGAGTGTATATCTTTGAAACCACATTTTTTTTTCTATATGTCAAATAAAGTTAAATTTTTGTTTCATTGACTTTTGTACTTTATTCGTTTTCATTTTGTTGTATCTTATCCTTATTTTTGACACACTGTTTTGTCATTCCATTAAGTTTCAAAATAAATTTTCACAATACCAATCTACGACAAGAAGAGTTTCTCAAGTTTTCAGATCGACTACATCATCTCATAAAACAGAACTTTTTCTATAAAGATGGAAATCGTAGTTAAAAATTCCTTATTTGTTTCCATGAAACTTATTACCGAATTTGTACCTACCATGAGTAAATGACAGATGTCGCTAGTGGCGTAAGATCTACTTACTTTCCCATAGTGCCTGAAATCATCCTCGAGTTTTTGGTAGGGTTCTTGTTGTTCCGTCTTTATTTCTAGATAATGTTTTGTGAATTTGTTTGTTTTTTCATTGTCTTTGTTAATTTGATATGACGCAGTCAGTTCCTCTCTTTGACTTATTGTTATCTTCCGCCTCTTTATGGTCATGATCATTCTTACAGTGTCAAGAAAAACTTTGATTTAAACAACAGATAGACAGAATGTTGTGTAAGAATAAAGTTGAGAATGTGTCAAATAGACAACAACCCGATCAAAGGGCAGACAACAGCCAAAGGCCACCAATGGATCTTCAACACAGCAAGAAAATCCCGCATCCAGAGGTGGGCTTCAGCTGGCCCCTAAACAAAAATGTATACTAGTTTTGCGAAAATGGACGTCACACTAAACTCCGAAACATATCAATGAAACAAAATTAAAAAACATACAAGACTAACAAAGGCCAGAGGTTCCTGACTTGGGACAGGCGCAAAAAATGCGGCGGGGTTAAACATGTTTTGTGAGATAAATGCAGGACTTTTTTTTTTTATCGAAAACCTGTTTGTTTAGTTTGGTGGATTAATATCCCAACAAACAGTCGATATTCATATGAACACTAATTGTATATTCCTACATACGTATATTTCTACATCTTTTTTAGTGATGTTGAAGGACAAATTCCCTCTGTTTCTGTTTGTTACCTTGCTCTTTCTTAACAATTTTACGAGATTTGAACATCGATTAACTACTGTCGCCTTAATTACCGATCATCTTCATAAATTGGTTGATCGGTATGATGTGTCAGTGTCCTAATTCAAGAGCGACATGTTTTCGCGGGTTCGACCTCTAAATAAGTATTCTGATCGGGAAATGTACCGATTGTGTCATTTTTGAATCACATGGTGGTTTATGCATTCCCTCGGTTTTTGATTTCACTTTGATGTGTATCTTCTATATGGATTTATGATATTAAGACATCGGTCTTTCTTTATAAAAAATACTATTGCCGCTAAATTTACCATGATGTTCTCGTTAACCTTAATTTGAAGCAAAAAAAAACAACAACAAAAAAACCAAACTAAAATACACACAAAGTGCCTCTACATATTATCGAGTTCATGCATAGTTAATTGCTCATTTTAGATTTTCTGTAATTTTGATATACGTTTTAACATTTCATAAATCAAATATGAGACTTGAATGAAATCGGTGAGCATGAATTTGACAGCTAATGCCCCTGTTGCACTGTTCTGTCCTTTTACGTCATTTTCGAATCTCTTTTATATTACATTTGGCGTTTCAATTAAATTGAAGTTTAACGAGTTGCATTTCTTTGTTAATTTTAGTGAGCGTCACTGATGGGTCTTATGTAGACGAAACACGCGTTTGGCGTATTAAATTATAAGCCTGGTACCTTTTGATAGCTATTATTTGTGTGTGTCTCTGTCCTGTATGTTCTCCCATTTATTTGTATTGTAGTCCTGTCATGTAATCTTGTCATTTAAATGTTATATTGCCATAAAAGCGGGAGGTTTGGCTAGCCACAAAACCAGGTTCAACCCACCATTTTTTCTTAAAATGTCCTGTGCCAAGTCAGGAAAATGGCAATTGTTATATTATAGTTCGTTTCTGTGTGTGTTGCATTTTAGTGTTGAGTTTCTGTTGTGTCGTTGTTCTCCTCTTATATTTGATGTGTTTCCCTCAGTTTTAGTTTGTAACCCTGATTTGGTTTTTTTTCTCAATCGATTTATGAATTTCGAAAAGCGGTATACGGTTTAACCCCGCCGCATTTTTGCGCCTGTCCCAAGTCAGGAGCCTCTAGCCTTTGTAAGTCTTGTATTATTTTTAATTTTAGTTTCTTGTGTACAATTTGGAGTTTAGTATGGCGTTCATTATCACTGAACTATTATATATATTTGTTTAGGGGCCAGCTGAAGGACGCCTCCGGGTGCGGGAATTTCTCGCTGCATTGAAGACCTGTTGGTGACCTTCTGCTGTTGTCTGTTCTATGGTCGGGTTGTTGTCTCTTTGACACATTCCCCATTTCCATTCTCAATTTTATACTACTGTTGCCTTTATTAGATGTTGAAAGCGACATTAGCACATACTTACAACTTCTCGTCCAATCATATTGCTTGAATTTGCCTTCTAATTTTCATAGTACATACTTTTCCGTGTACTAAGTAACTACGCATGAATGACCACAAGGGTAAGATTTCATTGTATCGTAATCAAGATATGAAAACAAAAAATGCCACTGGCTATTTTGAAATAAAATACTGTGTTCCACATTAAATTAAATAGTTTGTAATTAGTTTTCACATTGATTTTTAAATATCCTGCTATTAAAATCTTTGGATCTAAAAAATGTTTTTGACAATTGCAAGTTTTTTTTTTTCATTTAAATAAAGAGTAACAAATATGGTTCTTTATACCTTGATTAGAGTACAGCGCTATCTTAAAATTGTAATAATTTATCGTCCATGCAATTACTTTGTACACAAAAAAAAAGTGTGTACTATGATTTATTGTGAAGGGAAATTAAGGCAACTTGGTGATTTTATTAACTTTCTTGGGAAAATTGATCTATTTCGTCATGAATTGATTGATTATTGGTTGCTTAATGTCCAGTGGCAAATATTTCATAAATGTCTTGAATTGAAAAACCATGATAATGTCTGAAGAGAATGTGCCACCTATATAGATAAATCTTTTAGTTTTTACTTTGAAAAAAAACCAAAAAACACAAAACCTATAATATCTGATCTATTGGTAGTTGCTTTTTAATGCTATCCGCTAGACTATCTAGGGGGACAAACTATCTATATCTTTCAAATTATTTCAATTTATTATAGCTTTAGTTTTACTGTGAAATTGAAAAGTGTTTTCAAAACATGTAAAGCTTCCGCTGCAATTTTATTATTGTCTGCTTTTGGTCAATTCATTTTGTCATCTTACCATGTAAAGAAGTAAATGTATAGTAAAATACCGCTTTATATCAATAAACATATTTACACCAGCAGCTACCGTCTTTTCATTCTGGGGTCTCTAGGGCCTTTTGAAATCACATATCTTACAATGATACTACAAAACATAAAATTCGTTAATGAGCTCTGTTTTACAAACATCTGTGATACAAGTAGTCAGCCTAAATAAACTATCAATAGACCAATTAAAAGATTACTCGAGTTGTAAATATGTGCTAAATTGGATAGTCTATGAAAAGGTATATACTATGAAATTAAATTTCATAGTATATACCTTTCCATAGACTAACCTAGACATATACAACGCACCGCGTTATCGACGGAAATGGCAAATTTATTAAATGTCAAGATTATAAATTTCAGCAGCTAGAAGTTTAACAAAATTTGTGGCTAGAATCAAAACTGCGGACGGATTAATATCAGTGTTGACATTTATTTATTTTCTTGAAAAAATTTAGACAGAATCTCCCAATGCATATAATCTGTGGTGAATAGCAGATAACTTAACATGCACTCATACCACATCTTCCTATATCTATATATAGAACATACCAATGGGTCAGTGAAAAGTCACTAAAAAGACGAAGGACAGAAACTACATTACCAAAATGAATAAAAATAATGAATAAATCAACATTGTCAGGAATATGACAGTTGTTTTCCATAAGGTCCGTTATTTGATGTGGTCCACCGTTTGGTTGTATCAGGTTTAAAAGACTCCCCTCCCCCTTTTGAATTTGCCTTGAGGTTTTTTTTAA